TTAAAATTTAACCATTATCTACCAATTAGATGAGGATAATCATTACCATAACAGAATATTCGGATTTTAACAGTTAAAACAATTTAAGCTAATGATCCTTATCTAATTTAGGCTTAAAATCCGAAAAATCTGCCAACAGACGAGTCGCCACGTCGTTTCATGCCATAACATGTCGTGTAAGACCAACACGTCGTGTTCATCAGGCAGAGTCCAAAAGCGATTTTTTTTCAGCTTTGAATAAATCACAAATGCATCAAATATAACAGAAAAAAACACTAAGCTCTGATACCACTGATATGTTTTGAGCATTACAACATTCCTATGGTGTACATGCAACCCTAATTGCTTTGGATCTAGGTTTTTCTCAAGTTATACATGTTTATTAATTTTTCCAAAGCAAAACCCTAGACTAGCATACATATTTTCGGATTCAATGAATAAACAAAAGTTAGAAGAATACCTTTCTTGTTGATTGCTTGATCTTGACCTTCAAGATCTTAGTGCCTCAATTGTTGCACCTCTAATGGAGTCACAAACACCACTAGCAATGAGGAAGAGGGAGAAAGGTTATGAAGCTTCATAATTTTCGGCCAAAGGGTTCTCTAAGAATGCATAGCCGAAAACTGTAACCTATGAGTTCCTTATATAGCTGAGATGCTAGGGTTTTTCCAACTGGAAACCCTAATTTCCCTTTCTTAGGCCATAAAAACACATGGACCCCCATATGGCAAGCCTTGGACGAAAACTCTATGGGATCCCCATAGGTTTTCGTCCATGCTATACCAATAGGATCCATTAGCCCAAACTACAACTATTACTGATTTACATAATCAGTCCCTGTTCTTTTAATCAGTCTCTTTTGATCACTAAATTAATTTCAAATTAATTTCTGATCAATACTAATTAAATAATATGATTTCTCAATTAATATATTATTCTTATAATATATTAATAAACCATTAATTAACCTCTTTCTCCAAAACTCATCCTATCAAATTGATATGGTGAAGGCAACCCAAAAGGACCATGTTATTATCGGGTCAAGTACATACCAATTATAGTTATGGACTTAGACACCTAATCCAACACTTTTTTGGTGTCAGCTTACTTTTTTTACTAGTTCATTGCTAAGATTTTTAATATATATTTCATTGTTCTAAAAAAATAATCAACGTAATGGTCAAGTATATTGATATTCTTCCCACTAATAAAGGGTAATGGCATAATAATGGGTGACCAAGACAAAGGCTAACATGGTCTAAGGGTCGTAAATGGAGACTATGTATATGAAATCATTGAGCTTACAAACTAGAATGAACTACTGCTTATATGAAGGATTTTACATATTTGTTTTTTAGGGTATAATTGTTTGTAATGGTTTGATCAGTTTAGGGTATTAAGTGATTTAGATTCGTGTTTTAAGGTATGCAATGTTGTAATGGTTGTATCGATTTTGCACCATGACAAAATAAAATCAAAAAAACTTTAATAGTAATGTAATTTAATGTTTTATAGTAAATAGCAATGTAGTTGGTTTATTATTATTTTATTGGATTTTACTCATTTCAAAAATTGTAGCATACTTTGTTTTGTTGTTTTTCTTGACTTTATTTTGCACTATACACCTATTAAAGAGAAAACATTTAATTGCAACGCACTTTCAATATTGTACAACAAATAACAACGTACTTTTTTTGGATTTTAGTCAAGTAAACAATTGAAACATAATATTTCAATCCATATTGCACTTGGACAAAAATTGAGGAGAAAACCATAAACAACAACATCCTTCATTTTTTTCTCATTTTGCACCAGTGAACATAACAACATACTGCGTTTTGGTTTTTTGATTTTACTCATCTCAATAATAATAATATACTTTGTTATTTTACTCTAATTTTTTTGACATCCTCACCAAGTTAACAAAAGGTGATTGTCTACGGATAAACAAATAACATGACCAAATAATCTCATAATCTCAAAGATACATGTATAACAAAACAAAATGATAGTGAATATGACTAATTAGTTCCTTCTAGTTTGTAATCTCCATGATGTCATATACAATGTCTTCATATCTGCAACCATTAGTGCCTTGGCTGCCTTTCACCTGTTCACCCCTGCTTATGTCATCACCATCTCAACGTCCTTTAGCTCTATCCCATTCTTATCAACTTCTTATTTTTCATCACTTTCCAGCACAATTGCCTCATCAGAAGCAATTACTAACACCATATAACTCAAATCGAGTGCTTTAAACTGCTCAGTTGCATGACTCTAAATATGTTAGCTCAAATCCTCTATATTTGCTGCAAAAAATATCACATACGCATTTGAAGCATGAGACTTGAATACATCAAAATTTGAGATCACAAACGTGTTCTACAATACCATAACACTAATCATCTACAAGACAACAAGCAATCAATTATCATTGACAGCTAACTAAACAAGGTTAAGAAACTGACATTTTTTTCTCTTTTTGATAGTAACACGAGTGAAGCTAGGAATGGGCTTAATCCTGAGCTTTATCATAGCATTTTGACCTTTTTTTCTCAATTCTTCTTTACTTAGACCTACCACTTGCATCTCCCTAACGTGTTAATTACAAAATAAATCAACCAAATAACTTATGATTCTAACGTACATAAATGATGTTGAAGTAGAAATTTATGAAATTACTTATAATTACATGCTCTAATTTTCAACATTATGATCATCGTTGTCATCGTCATCTTTAACGAGCCTACATCTTGATTTTGAGGAAGATAAAGGAGAAGAAGCCGCATATTCGTGTTATTGCTTGGATAGTGGTGTGCGACTACTGCTTCATCGAACCAAAAAAATACGTGTTCTTTCTTTCCTAAGCCGATGAGATACGTCGACTGCTTCACTTTCTTCTTCATCGTCGTTTTCAGGATCCAACATGTTTTCCTAATCATGCAATGTTTAAAAAGAGAAAAAACATGATTTTCGCTTATTAATATACACGTCATAAAAAAAATCTATGCCACATACTTATCTGGTCATTTTCCCATAATACGTGCAAATTGATTGAAATTGAAAAGTAAAATATAATAGGTTGGGTTTTTCTGGACAAAAAATTAATGTAAGGATTCTTTTTTATATAAGAGCATAATAGGTTTGACTTTTTTTTATATTCCCCTTTTTACAATACACGTACATAGTTAAATTTAGTATGCAATGATCATCCCTGGTAAAAAAAAACAATAACTTATGGTTTTACGATGAGGTTTCCTTATTTAGAATCATTTTATATATATATATATATATATATATATATATATATATATATATATTATAAGTTAATTAAATAATATGATTTAAGTTTTGGATTTAACATAATATTTAAAATAACAAATAAGTGTATTGTAATAATCATTTTAAAAATCAATCAATAATAAGATAATACTTTACATCTAATAATATACTTTAAATTGATTAATTATATTCGTTGTGGTTTAATTCGATAACCTTTCCTTATGAATCTCAAGTCATGAAAGTAAAACAATGTATCATAATTTATGAATGTTTGCTTTAATAACATGCACCATTACACCATTTGAAACATTACACCATTTGAAACCAAATCTTTGGTGTGCATTCACATTTGACGTCGTTCACAATAATCAAGCCTTAAATATTTGACTTCATTCATAAAAATCAAGTCGTAATTAACCTTCACATTTAGAACATCAACTAAATGAATAAAGGAATAAAGCAGAATTATACCTTTTTGAAATTGGATTAGATCGCCAAGAATTTGATTGAAGACTTCTATAATGAAGAAATCACATATCCTCTCCCGTTTTTTGTTCCAGGTGACATGGTACATAATGAGATAAGAATGTTCGTTTTATTTCATTTAAAACGATTGTCAACACCTGCATGTTGTAACATAGTTTTTGTTTATTTGTTGTGGTATTGTTTTTGTTTATTTGTTGTGCTTAAATTCCATAACCTTTCCTTATAAATCTTAATTCATTGAATTAAAATAGTGTAGCATAATTTATGAATCTTTCCTTAAGTAACATGCTCCATTAGACCATTTGAAACCAAATCTTTGGTATGCAATATTCACATTCGACTCCATTAACAAAAATCCAGCCTTAATTAACTTTCAAACTTAGAACATCAACTAAATGAATAAATGAATAGAGAAGGATTATACCTTTTGAAATTGGACTAGAATTACCAAGAATGTAACTGAAGACTTATATCATGAATAAATCACACATTGTCTCCTGTTTTTTAGCTCCCGATGACATGGTACATAATAAGATAAGAACGTGTTTTACTTCATTTAAAATGATGGTCAATGCCTGCATATCGCTACGTTGTTTTTGTTTATTTATTGCGGTTTAATTCCATAACCTTTTCTTACGAATCTTAAGTCATGAAAGTAAAATAACATCTTCTGAAACGTAGGACATGTTAAGGCAGTAATTGTCTCTATATGGTTTACTAGCTATAAAAAACATTGCTTATCATTAGATTTCATATTATTAATATAAATGGTGAATAATGCGTTGTAGTCTAAGCACATGACGCTTTCTTCTCTCTAGATCCGCGTAATCCAATTCGTAATGAATCAATACAAATTTTGGGGATTTAACATTGATTACAGTATAGTGAATATTGCTTCATTTAACCAAAATGAGGTATCACTAGTATCATGGACCCTAAGATCGGGTTCATTGGCATACTGACTTGACATTGGGTAATTCATTTCTCATAAACCCTTTTAAAATATTACAACAAACAAAAACACATCGTTTTATACCAAAAAATCAAACAACGTTTATCATAACATTTAGCCAGTAACAACAACAAGAAAACACCATGTAAAGTTCAACTAACTAATCAAGCATTCAACTTCTAAAAAACACATTACAATGAGAGACAAGTTCATATCAGTTTGAGCAACAAACAAACACCCTGCTGCAACAAATGCCTATTTGGATAGATGCTTCGATATTTCAGTCTTTGCTTTGTGCATCAGCATCGTCTTGATCTTTGACCCGGTCATTAGAGGCCTTACCTTTAGATTCAGGGTTAGATGAATTGGCACTTAATGCAAGAACCACGGTATCTAGACACACAGCAAAATGAGTAGGATAATTATCACGAGAGAGTGGCACAGCAACAAAAATATTGCCACACTTCATGCACACAAGTTCTTTATTGATTCTAGCATTGGAATAATAGAACCGAAAGTGGCAATTGGAACACTTGGTCCAAAATGTTTGTGTAATCATGCACAAAGCTTCTGTTAAAATTTTAAGGGCTCCTTCAGCACCAACCACCAATTTATTTCTGCCTTCCTCAACTTTGGCATGTATCTCATAATAATTAGCACATATTTCCTCAAGCGTTGCAGTCTGCAGCTGTAGAATCCCATACCAATCTGGTTCACCATTTATGATTTCATTTCTTGAGTTATAAATTTTGTGAATGGTGTTAAGCGGTGACTCTAAATTAAGGCTCATGATTCCCTAATACACAGAAGCATCAACGTTTAAACTATAATGCTCAATTACAAGATAATAATTGTAAGAAACATAATTAGAAATCACCTGAAAAAATTTGAGACAGTTTTTTTCTAGATAGAAATTGAAGAATTAAAAATTGTCTGAAACCCTTCAAGATGAAAAATGACACAAATTTTTGATGTTCTTCAAAGACAACCAACAATGCTTTTATACTTGTTTTGGGGATTATGGGAATCATATATATATATATATATATATATATATATATATATATATATATATATCACAACTCATATGTATATTTGTACATTAATGTACATTAAAATTTTCATTTAATCATCATAACAAAGTCAACCTCCTAAAACAATAACATTTAATTTCGTACATCACACCATGAGATTTTGTAAATCCTGACCTATTTATTTATATTAGAAATAAAAGAATTGTATTGTCAAGTTAACCATGGACTAATTGTGGTCTCTTTCAAAGTTTTTGTGCTCAAAGATGGTGAAAAGGAGAAAATTAGTCGGTACATGTTTTTAGGTTAAAGAGAGCATCAGTAAGCTTGACATAATACTGTCACATCAAATTTTTATGTACCATATAAGCTTTTGGCATAAACATGTACATCTTGTAATTATTGAGGAGTGGTGGTAATGCCATTTAAATATGTTTGATTTTGGAAAAAAAATACAAAAAATAATAATAAATTAGAGAGCACCAATCAAAACAACCACACACACATTCTCTCTCTCTCTCTCTCTCTCTCTCTCCCTATATAGATATATATATATATATAGATATATATATATATATATATATATATATATATATATATATATATATACTCTAATAAATAAATAAAAAATTTATCACTTCTCACACTCTCATTTAATTTGCTAAATATCATTTTGTGGTTATTTTGAATTAATTTTTTTCCACATGTCACTTTATAAGTTTTTTTTTTTTTTTAAATTTCACATAATATTTTAATGTAATCATTGCAATAAATGTAGTAATAAATGGATATCAATGTCACTAATGAACTTACCTTTTCATTTTAAAATTCTCAAAATTAAAGCTCGTTATTTTTTTTGTTTATTTATTTAAATTATTTGTTTAAATTTAAAAGATAAAAAACATTTTCATTATACTAATTCATTATTTTTATTATTTTCTTATAAATTCAAAGTTCTCAAATATTTGGACATTTATATTTAATTTTATTTTTTAAATTAATCCATGTAATACATGGGTCTCACAACTAATATATATATAAAATATATATATATATATATATATAGATATATATATATCCATATTCTAATAAATGAATAAGTTTATTCTTCTATTGACAAGTGTCACAATATTAGAAATCCTTATTAATATTATATATCACCTATCAATGCACTTGTCAACCTATTAATTATTTATTTCAAATTTTAAATTTTAAATTTACCATTCTAATTATATTAAATTAATAATTGACTGGGTGTGAGACCCATGTATTACATTAGTTTATTTAAAGGAAAAACTAAATACAAAATTCTAGACATTTGAGAAGTATGAATATATATGAAAAGTGATAAAATATTGAATTATTAAATTTAAAGTGTTTTTTTCTCTTTTAGATTTAAAGAAAATAATTTAGATAGATAAATAAATAAAGAAAATTAATAAATCTTTAATTTAGTAATTTTGAAATTAGGAGGAAAGTTCATTAATGAAATTGATATACATTTATTATTGCATTTAAATACTATCTACAATTTAATAAAATGAAAAAACCATAAAATGACATGTGGAATAAAAATTAATTTAAAATAACTATAAAGTTACATGTGACAAAATAAATGAGAATGTGATATGTGGCAAGGATCTTCATTTTAAATTTTAAATTTTAAATTTCACACCTTAATTATATTAAATTAATAAAACTAGAATAAAAAATAAAACTAATTTATATATATATATATTATATATATATATATATATATATATATTATAAGGTGATATAGTTTCATGTATTTATTTAAATCAACGATTATAATTTCATATAAATTAAATAATCTCTTAATTAATAATTTATTTAAAATATTTTATTTGAAATAATTGATTAATAATTTGAACTTTTTACAATAAAAGTTTAATTAATTTTATAACTGTGGTTCTCACGGGTTATAAACAAAATATATATATCTATATATATATATATATATATATATCTATATATATATATATCTATATTCGAGAGAGAGAGAGAGAGAGAGAGAGAGGTAGGTTCAAATGTTTCTCACATCTATTGTGTGCTAGAATGCACCAATAGAATTTAGTATTAATTATATGTATATTAATGTTATCCATACTTATAGCTCATTTTTATGGCAAAACTTAATTCGTCATTAATGTCAACAATAATATTCTTTTAGAATGAATTCATATCTAGAAGAATGAGAGTGTATTCCAGCAGAATGAGAGTGTATTCTAGTAGAATACACTCTCGTTCTTCATATTTTAATGCAACTTTATTGTATTTTAAGTGAGTGGGTCCTGAAACAAAATACAAACTCATATATAAAAACCTAGATGTGAATTCATTCTGAAAGAATGTTATTGCTAACATTAATGACGGATTTAATTAGTTTCCATAAAAAGAGAATTATAATTATGGATATCATTTAATATACATATAATTATGGAATATTTAATATCTATATTTATTTAATTAAATAATTATTTAATTTACTAAATTTATTGGTGCATTTTAGCACACAATAAATATAAGAAACAAATAACCTAGTCATATATATATATATATATATATATATATATATATATATATATATGTATATATATCTAGTTTATAAACCGGTGGGAACCACGTTATAAAAATTAATTAAATTTTCATAATAAAAATTTATAATTATTAATCAATTATTTAAATAAATTATTAATTAAGAGATATATCAAATTTTTAAAGTTATTATAACTTCAAATTTAACATATGATTAGAAAATGTACATTTGAAATTTGAAATAAGTTGTATTAGAGTGATACTTGGCAAATGGATATTAAAACTATTTATTTATTAGAATAGCGATATATATATATATATATATATATATATATATATATATATATATATATATATATATATATATATATATATATATATCTATATATATATATATATAGCATGTCATTAATAACTAATGTAAACAATATGACTACTAAAACTATTTTTTAAAAGAACCATTCAAATTAGAAGCATAACCCACACTTAAAAATAAGTTTTCTAAAACTAGTTTTGAGTAAGTCACTATCGAATGTTGGATACGCTACCATTTTTGTAAATCATTATGTGTTCAACATGCATATTTTATTCTTCCACATTTTCTAACGTACGACAAATTTATAAATGTTCAGTTCTAGCTATGAATTATTAATAGCCTCTTATAATGAAGTTTAAAATTATATTCTTTCAAATAAATTTATTTGCCAAAACTTATGAAACCTTTCATCGTATGTTGCAACATAATATATGTTGTCATGGATAGTTTCGTTGTTAATCATCATTATGACTCGTCCCAAATTCAACCTATTAATGACTTTGTTATCTGCAAAGCTTAGTCGTTATTTATATGAATTTGTGTTTTCCTCAAAATTTTATAGCGTAAAATGATGTAGATTAAAATTTGATCAACACTACCTTGCTTATTACAATGGATTCATTCACGATGATGAGATGAGCATTTATCCCTTATGTCATATGCTAGTTTCTAACTATAAACGACGACCCGAAAAATCACTTTTAAACATGGGTGTTGTAAAGGATATTGTTGCATGTTACATAGATAATAATTAAATATTTTGTATATTTTGTTTCTACACATCATCCTATAAATTTTAAATGTTGATATATGTCGAATTTAATGAAATTAATAATGTTTTAATACATTTATCACCATTTAACACAGGTAGGAGGATGAATATGTCTTTTTTTTTTAAACGTCAAATCTAATTTACTCTTTAACTATTCTTTAATTCCACTTATGTCCGTTGCCGGAATGTAAGAGTATATTTAATTTCTATACATATTTAACATATGCCTTTTAAAGAAAATATGTTACATTTACTAGGTGGATTTTTAATGATAAGAGTCTTAACCAAGATTAGTTATGTTAAATTATCTATTAATTAGCATTTTAACTCATGCAATAAGTTAACTTTTATTACTTATCGAATGTAATAGAAGATTTATGTTCGCGTAATGGCAGGCATCAATCACAACGACACTCGAATGTAGTCTTGGTGTAAAGGGTTTGGTATTTTATTTATGTAACCAAATTTCCTACACATTTTAAGATTCGGAAGTTGTAATAGACATGTGCATAGTATGGCACATTTTAAGATTCGGAAGTTGTAATAGACATGTGCATTTATGTGCTTTGTAAAGACCATCGACGGAGGGAGTATGGGGCAGGTGCTCCACCTACCCCGACTCTTCTTATATATTTTTACCAAGATAACTTCATTAAACTAAAACCAACAGAAATAATGCTTGCTCACATTTTGAAAAGAATAAAGGCAACACACTAAACACGGCAAATATATCCATCTAGGTTTTAACTATATTTTTTTAACTAGGTTAATACCTGTGGAAGCCACGGGTTGAAAAAACAACATTATTGATAATTTAAAATGATAAAGATTAATCAAAGATTTATAAAAATTTATTCGTTTATAAAGATAGAAGTTTTGTCAATAACTAATAGTTCAACTTTTTCGGTTTATTTTAGGAATATTATTCTTGGGAATATATGTAGTTTAATGAAAACCTATTCATATCTACTTTAATAAATGATGTTTTTTTTTCCACTTGTCACACTCTCATTCAATTTGTCAAATAACTATATTTTTTTTAACAATGTTAATACTTGTGGAAACCACGGGTTGAAAACAAAAAACATTATTGATAATTTAAAATGATAGTGATT